ATGATATTATTTTGACAGTACCTCCTGACTGTATACAATTATTATTAGACACTTTTAACAATTATAATGACAGACTTTAATTTATAATAGAAGTCCAAAATACTAACTGTTTGAGCTTCTTAGAAGTTAAAATTTTAACTACTGATGGTGATTTAAAGTTTGATTGGCACCACAAATCTACTTTTTCTGGTAGATATCTGAATTTTTATTCTTCTCATCCGTTATCACAAAAGATTGGCACCATTGTATTCTTAGTAGATAAGGTAATGCTATTATCGGATCCATGCTTTCATGATAGTAATTTTAAATTTATAATAAAAATCCTACTTGAGAATAATTATCCTTTGCAATTTATTTTTAAGACCATTAGGAATAGAATTAAATTTTTAATTAACAGCAAATTAAATTTGAATATAGATAATATTTCCATTTCTTCAACTGTTAACAAAGCAGTGAATACTAAATATTTTGTTACTCTTTATGTAAATGGTCTTTCTAATTTTTTCTCTAATTTTTTTAAAAAATCTAAAAATATTTCCTTGGCATTCCGAAGTTTAAATAAATTGAATAAAGGTTTCTAAAAGTACTTTAACACATGGTCAAAATAAAGATGTTGTTTATCAGATTAATTGTAATGATTGCAATGTTTCATATGTGGAACAAATGAAGAGACAATTAAAAACCAGAATAAGGTAGCATAAAAACCAGATCAACAGAAATTTTAATACTGTTTCTGTTGTTACTGAACATTGTTTAGAAACTGGCCATAATTTTAGTTGGGAAGATGTCAAAATCTTAGACATAGAGAAATATTTTTAAACACGTTCCATTTCAGAAATGCTTCATATTCGGTTACAAGGAAATTCCATCAATGTTATGTCAGATACGGATAGTCTTAAACCTTATTTTTTGTTCTTAGAACTGTTAAAATCAGAATTGCAATTCTTTTCCTTACATTATTGGAAATAAATATGTTTATGTTGTTGTGTCATTGAGTTATTGATATTTTTAGACAAATACTATAAGTGGGGATATCTCTATCCAAAAAAAACTTATCTTTTAAAAAAAGGTACAAAAGTGCGCCAAGTACACGCACAACACGTAATACTTTAACTTAAAATTCTAAACTCAAACTAGTATTTATTAAAAAATGTATTTTATTTTTAATATAAAACATTTTATTTTTACAAAACCT